AATGATTCTAGGATTCTATGATTCTATGACCTGGGGGATGCCGTGGTGCACACCCAAGTTGAACATGAGCCAGCAATGTGCTCTTCTGGCAAGACTGGCGAGCAATATCCTGGGCTGCATTAGAGGAAGTATTGCAGCAGGTCAAGGGAGGTGATCCTTCCCCTCCTCAGCACTGGTGAGGCCACACCTGGAGTGCTGTGCCCAGTTCTGGGCTCCCCATTACGAGAGAGACGTGGACATACTGGAGAGCATCCAGTGAAGGGCTATGTAGATGATGAAGGAACGGAGCATCTCCCAAATGAGGAAAGGCTGGGAGAGCAGGGGCTGTTTAGCCTGGCTTTACACAGTGGCTGTAACTTGCTTGTGCACATCGAGTGAGCATACCTCATTGGAGCATGGGTTAATTCACTGAGAAATTGTGAGAAATCTGAATTGTTATGCTGGATCCATGGCTTTATGTTACATGCTAGCCCAAGGCCACTGCCCGGCCCCAGAAACTTTGCAAAATAAAGTATACTTTAAAAGAGCCTAATGCCAATGATTAATTACTAGTACTTACAAGTAACTGAGGCTGGCATTGGCTTACCTAGGTGATAATAGTAGGTACTGTAAGTTCTTATTTCCCTCTGAACCAAAATCTGATGAACATAGCATGGTTTGTTAAATAGGTTTATACCTAATTTTGATTACAGAATGTATTTTCTCAGGCAGGCATTTCAGTCACTCTTCATAGAGACAACTAATTCTGGATTTGCTTCTCCAGTGGAACAGACACACCTACTGTTTAATGCTTGCTTTATTTTAACAAACTGTGCCAGTGAAAAATACATTTGGAAGGCATTAATCTACCTGCATCCAATCCCTTGTTTAAGTTGAAGTGGGCATATATGTAGCGCTGCCAATGAATACAGTTACAGGAAACATAAAACATAACATTACAGTTAAATCTGAGACAGTGAAAACAGGTGTTGGAAGTATACCGCATATGTATTTAAGAACAGAGGTCTTTACTGTTCAGCAGCTACTTACTCTGATAGTGCATGGGATTTTGTATGGATATTCAGTTGCTGCTGTTCTCAGCAATTAAGGAAAGGATCATGCCACTACCTTGTGCTGGAATTGAATTTCATTTAGGAAAGAATGGTGGGTAATAAAGAAGGCCCCCAAGATTGAGATTTTACCAGGAGGCTGGCTAGCCTGACCTCACTTTCATACCACGCCTTTACCTGCATTGGAAATTTGGTTTCAAAATCCTGTCAAAATTATGAAGAAATGCCACTACTCCCAAGGCTATCCTCTGCAAGGATCTGGGGCTTGTGTCCCTCATTCAGCAGAAATAACAAGCCATTTTGTTATACCACATGTGGATGTATTTTCTTTTTTTCTTTTTGATAGAGAAGACTCATCTAGACAAGATGCAATTCTGGCATGCTCTGCACTGAAGAAGATGTATAGGCGTGTATTAGTTAATGGAGCATCTGCAATTGCAAGCAACCAGCCAGAGCAACCAGGAGAAAATGCAGCACTGAAGATCCTCTTTGTTCATTTGGATGGGCCTATAGACATCATTGCTGCCCGTCTGGAGAAGAGGAGAGGACATTTTATGCCACCTGAACTTCTCAAGTCTCAGTTTGATACTCTGGAGCCTCCTAGTGCACCAGAAAACTTTATTACTGTCAGTCTAGAAAAATCTCTCCCTGAAATAGTGCTGGAGATTGAAAGCGCCATTTTTCAGGGTGACGCTGTTCTGGAGTAAGTTTCTGGATTACACACACAGAAATTCCCTTGATGGCAAGGGTCTGAAAGAGCATTTTTAGTATGAAATCGTTTATTAAATAAAAACAACTTATTTTTCCTGATACTTAAGTGGATTGCAATATTAAGAGCTGGTTTACTACTCTTGGTATTTTTATCATGGCTCTGTAAAAGACATACAGGGTGAAATTTTCAAAAACTGTCAACTTTTTAAACCCTTCACCATATGAACTTAAAACTCCCATTTTAGGAACAGCCTGCTTTTGAAAGTCCTGCCAAGGTTCAGACACAATAATTTATTTTCTTCATTTTAGTTTTTACTGTCAAACATGGAGATGGGAACATCTGCTATTAAGTGGTGAAATAATTTACAGCTTTGTTAGAAACAATATATTAATTTTTCTAGAAGTCTAAGAGGCAGGAACATGCTTGATGAAGTTCTGTGCCTGACACTTCCACTGTTTCACTGCCAGATTTTCAACAAGTTGTAACTTCTATGTTTGTGTCCTTGCTAACCTTACCAGGGCACTGGTCTTTCATGTATGCATCAAGCTGAAAAATGTGAGAAAAAAAGGTAGTGGTGGTGAAGCAATATACAAAATGTATTTGTATGGAACGCTTTAGAAATGAAGTGTAAGTGGCATCATATTGGCTCTGAACTTGCACCTTTCATGTACAAAGCGTATCCATTGATGAAGTGCAGTGGGGAGTGAGTCAACCAGTGATCTGGATACAAGATCCTGAATACAAGATTGATATATGTTTCCTTCTTTTAGAAAAAAAACATCTTACTCTTTCACAGTTGGATCTTCTCCTTCACTTCCCTTTTCTGGTTGTCACTGTCTAAGGACACTGGTATGCTTTAGTCTTCCACCTCAGCCAATGTCCACTCCAATACATGCTTATGGATAGGTGTTCATACAACTGCTTTAAAGCTTAAGATCAAACTCTTTCTAATACACATTTTTTACTTTTTTTTTGTGATCAGAAAATTCCAAATATCCAACCAGTTACCTAACTCATAGAATGTAAGATTAAAATAATTTTTATTGCCAAAGTGTTTTTTTTTTAAAAAAAGTTCTTTATGCCTTGTTACACAAGAAGTGCCTTTTTAGCTTCACTTAATGAGAATTGCAGTTTCTGTAAGAAAGATTCAAGTCACATCTTAATGAAATCATCCCAATGTGCCCATCCCCATAGATCATTTTTAGTGTGTCTTGCAATTTTTTCATTTCTAGGATGATGGATGAACTCCTTTAGAAGCAAAATTCACATTTCAAAACATCTTTGGTGTGATTTTTATTTGGATAACTAGTTGAAAAACATTTCTTTTGTTTCTCATTTTGTATGAGTAGTAAGGGCTTTGTGGTTTACGAGACAGACTACTGTGCTTAGATCAGTGCAATAAATGGGCATTATCTGACTGAAAGCAGGCATTTTTAGATACAGATTTGGGATTGTAGACATTAACACACCCACCCAGAAGTTTTTTTTCCTGTTTGTGACCTGGAGGGAGAACAGCAGGCAGCTACCCATTTTAGTCTGCTGCTGTGCACTACAGCAGCATTAGAAAAAAATGCTCTCAATTCAGAGCATGTTTATTCTGAAAGCTGATGTGCAAGCTTAAGACCCAGAGGCAAAGTGCAAGAGACAGGCATGTCTGGCTGATTCTTAGCATCCTTAAATTGCAGAGACTAGGCACCTCTTCAGACCAAGTGACTCGTCGGAACTCTGAGAGTTTAGTAGCTATGAAAATCAAAGAAATGGCACCCTCTTGTGGTACCTCTGCTTTTAATGAAGTCTTCATATTTTCCCAATACATACATTTTACGAAGAGCTTTTCTAATATACCCGTTATTACATACAGATTTATTCTCTTTTTCTTTCAGACACAATAAAACTAGATTGGGACACTGTACAGTGATGGAAAACCAGCTGCATCATGTCACAAACAGATATGGTCAGAACTTCAAATAAATAAACAAACATTGGGCAACATTTTCAAATGTGAGTTCTAAAAAGGCTAGACCCCAATTTTCAGATCTGCTTGTCAGCATTTATAGCATGCTTACAAAGTGGCTGGCACTAACAGAAATTGTACTCAACACTTAAAAACTGTTCTCTTTTAAGAAAGTCTATGTAGGCACCTTGGGTTTTGAAAGTCTTTTCTAAACAAGATAGAATGTTCGTTCTTAGAGGCAGTTCGCTTCTCCAAATTAGGTTGGAGTATTTCTCACTCTTTGCTCCCATGACAGGAATATTTCTTTCCCTTAATCTTGAAATATATTTGCTAAAAGGACAACCAAGTGACCATTTAAATTAACATGCCATTAATCTTCTGAATGACAGGAGCAGTTTTCACTACTGGAGTTCAGTACTTTAGTCTGTTATGTCCTAATTAGCTGGTCCTTGAAGCTTGTAATTCCCACTTAGATCCTTCCATTAAAAGAAGACACCTCTGTACTTCACTATTCTAGCCTCCACATTAACTAGAAATTATCAGCATCTAAAGCTAGTCGTATTTTGCAGACCTAGTGTTCATGAGAAACTCCTGTTTCCAAGAAAGAGCAGCTGGCAGTAGGTGCATGAACACAGTAAGATGTTAAACATACACGTTTTTCCCAGAATGCTGATCTGAAGATAATGCCAAGCATCTGCATTTCTCTCGGAATCTCAGAAGAGAAGGAAGTTTGCCTCCACCCTGCTCCATCTCAGAGGCGGGCAGATACAGCCAAAAAAATTGTAGAACCTGACCCTCTCAATAAACAAGTAGAAACCAAGAAGCCATTACTTGCTCTGGAAAGTGTGGGTGAAATCTTCAGGAACACAAACTTTTTATAGAAGCTTTCCCTCTAAACTCTTCCTGCTTGCTTTTTATTTAGAAAAAGAAGGTTGCAAGACTCCTGGGAAACTTTTCATTAGCTCCATTTGTTGTTCGACTTACTTTCCCCAAGACAGAACCAGGCTTGTGTAATTAGCTAGACAGAACTGCTGCAATTTACTACTTCTTAAACTTTTGCCACAGTGCCACAGATCTGAACTTCACAATGCTAAATCCACAGGGCCTTGCAGGAGTGGTTGGCTTTTTCCCCTCTACAGAGAAAGTCTCCTTGGTTTCTGCCGGCTTGTTCACATGCAGCTGCAGGAATACACAAATTGTTCAAAAAGAATACTGAGACTGCATTTTGCAGGGCTGACTGTGGACCCCAGCTCCACAATCTGAGTCAGTTCCAGGTACTGCATAGAAGGTTGTTGCCAACTTAATCAGTTAAGTAGTCTGTTACCTGCTATTCTGAAAGACAACAAAGCATTACTTCTGTTCACTTATATCCTGTGCACCACAAATTGAAAGATTAAGATGTCAGTTATCCAAATGCTAACTACATAAAACTGCTCTCCAGTTCTAATGAGGCTGTGCATGTGTACAGTGGAAGGAAAAGATCGCAGAACAATCCCTGCACGTAAGTTTCATTTACCTGCCCGAACACAATCCTACATTTCATTTACTTACTTTTTTTTTTTTTTTTTTAAATGAACTTACTGTATTAGTGATGTTGTTGTAGTTCAGGTTAGCTGGGCAGGTTATTTATATTTAGCCCAGGTTATTTGGATAGAAGTTTTCTGTCCATATTGAAATACATTTAGCAAAGGCAGCAAAAACTAAGGAGGAAGCATCTGGAGTTAGAAATTGCTTTTTCTGTCTCTGCCATGACCACAAGCTGTCTATGGGAGATACATGCACTATACTGCTTCAAAAATTTGTGCTAGGCAGTTTGTAACTATGTAACTGCGATTCTGTGTAAATACTGTATCTACTACAGCATCGGCATTTTGCAGTGCTATAATGAGGAAATAAAAATGAAATGTTAGATCCCAACAGCAGTATCCATTCATACATTAAACACAGGAAGGGTAGGGTCTTCTTAAACTGCACAGGTTATCTGTACAGGCAAAGGAACAGACCCAGTTCCCTGCCAACTCAGCTCTAAATTGGGGTGGTTATTTTATTATGCAGGCACTGAACCAAGAAAAGAATTAGGCAGACCACATCCTTTACACCACCAATCTTGCTGTCACATTCCCAATAGTACTGTAACAGTGTTTGATTTGAATGTATGCGTTTTAAATCTTTTAAATGGCATGTCAGTTCACACTACCATGACTTCCAGTGTTTTTCTTTTCGCAGCAGTTACTTTCTCTAGCAGTAGCTTGATGATCAGGCAAGGCAGTTTTGTAGACAATCTTATCATATCATTTGGTCTAATGTAGGGGAAAAGAAGAAAGTAGGAAAATAGACAAGCTTCAGGCACACGTGCCCTTCTTCTGGTCCAAAATGCAAACAGCAGATTTCAAATCCAAGATATCAAAGTGCTCAGACTTAACTGTGAGGTTGCTTCTGAAAGAAGAGGTAGATGATACTCCTAAAGAGAAAATTTTGAAGAGGAACAGGAAAAGGCGAAACGGGGCTGGGGGGGGGGGGCGAACAGGAACATTGTAATATGCTATTAAATGAACTACAGTGATCTTTGTTTTATTGTTAAAGATGTAATAAAAAGTCTACCTTACCTATAAACCTTGTTCTGCTTACTGTGTTTGCTGGCAAAACCAAAATTCCTCCTATGCAAAAAATGGCTCAGTGTTTTATCACTACTTAGAAGAAAGATAGTAACCGTTGTTAGTAGTTGACAATAGTTACTGATAAACATCAACTGTACTTCAAGAAGGAAACTTAGCTCAAGGCTTATTGTAGAATTTAAGTCAAACTTCATCTCTTGTTGAATTGCAGTAAAATTTGACTTCAAATATAGTGTCTCGTAATTTGCAACATGCAACTGAAATACTTACATGGGTGAACTGAATGTTGTCTCAAGAAACTGATCATGCTAGTCAGATTCATTGTTTCAGTGTCTTGGTAAAGCCTGGTAAAAATTTTCCCTTCCCCACCTCACCCTTTCATTTGACAGTAGCCTTTTTGGATGTTAGGATTGTATTCTCAAAAGG